AATTCCCGCGCACGTCCACCTCCAGGAATTTGGCCCAGGCCTATTTTTGTGATTTTGAAGGTGGCCTTTTTGACCTATATAAAGCCTAGATCGTCTCAAAACAAGGAATCTCAGATTTTGGAGCAACTTTTGGAGAGAAGAAAGCAAGGAAACAACTGAGACTCTAATTACTTCATCGAATTCATTCAATACAGAAGTTTGTTTGATTTTGGGAATTGTAATATTTTCTTGTTCTCCTAATACCCTTGTGATGAACAACTTCTCCACTATGGAGTAATCTTTATTAGGGTTATTGATAGATATTTTGATTTGACTAATCTTCTGGGTTTGCTTTGTGTTAATTGCCCGAATTTGTTGAATGAGTTATTAATTGAATTGCAAGGCTAATTATGGTTTTACTTTAATCGAAAGAGAAGTGTTGCTTCAATTTGCATTGTGTTATCTTGTTGGGTTGATTTCACCACTCTCATAGGTAATCGGAAGAGCTAACAGAGTTATTAATTGACCCAAGTTAGAAGAATAGTTGAGAGACGTTCTTTGTAAGATCATACGTTCAACATATTGTTGCATATTTTCTCAGCACATATCATTAGGTTGTTTAGCGCACTCGAATTCATTCGGAAGATGAATTTGAATCATCAGGATAGCCTAATCATCTGTTGAATTCGGAAGAGTCAATAAAAGTTAAGAGTGAACATAACACATAGTTGCCCACAGTAATAGTTGATCACTTATCTTGTCAAAACCCTTGTTTCTCGCCTTGATATTCAATTGTTACTACTTAGTTACTAATTTTCCATTATTCATTCACAATTGAGAATCTTAGTTTTTATTCTTAATTAGTTAATAACTCAAATTCAAAGGTTGATTTTCCTGAATTGTGTTAAGGTGAAGATTTCTTTGAGCAGTATTTAACCCAATCCTTGTGGAGACGATTTAATACTATACTATCTTTGACTAGCGAGCCTAAGTTTTATACATTGGTTTTGCGCTCGTCAGCCTCCATGACTTGTTGACCTCTCAACTGAATATTCACTGAAGTTATATTCTTTGATCTCAACTTTAGAACGTACCCATCCAAAATAGCCACCGGCTACACATCATAAGTCAAATCTCCATCTAACTGAACCGTGTTGAAGTCCAAAGCATGAGACGGATCACAGTAATACTTCCGGAGCATGGAAACATGAAACACTAGGTGAACACTCGATTGACTAGGTGCCAATGCAAGCTTGGAGGCCACCCCTCCAGTCCTCTCAAGCACCTCAAAAGGGCTAATATACCGAGGGCTCAACTTGCCCTTTTTCCCGAACCTCATAACACCCTTCATGGGTGAAACTCTGAGTAATACCTTCTGTCCCTCCATATAGGCAACATCACGGACCTTCTGATCGGCGTAACTCTTTTGTCTAGACTGTGCTGTGCGAAGCCGATCCTGAATCAACTTGACCTTATCCAAAGCATCCTGAACCAAGTCGGTACCCAATAGCCTAGCCTCACCCGATTCAAACTAACCAACCGGAGACCGATATCACCTCCCATATAAGGCCTTATACGGAGCTATCTGAATACTCGATTGGTAGTTGTTGTTGTAGGCAAACTCTGCAGGCGGTAGAAATTGATCCTAAGAACCCCTGAAATCCATAACACAAGCGCGTAGCATATCTTTCAATATCGGAATGGTGCGCTCGGACTGCCCTTCCATCTAAGGGTGAAATGGTGTACTCAACTCAACCAGTGTGCCTAACTCTCGCTGCACTGCTCTCCAAAACTAAGATATGAATTGCGTGCCCCGATCAGAAATAATGGACATCGGCACACCGTGAAGGCGAACAATCTTGCGGATATAGATATCAGCCAACTTTTCTGAAGAATAGGTAGTCACCAGTGAAATGAAATGTGCGAACTTAGTCAACCGGTCCACAATTACCCAAATAGCATCAAAATTCATTAAAGTCCGAGGGAGTCCAACAATGAATTCCATGGTGATACACTCCCATTTCCACTCAGGAATCTAAAGCCTCTGAAGCAAACCGCCCGACCTCTGATGCTCGTACTTCACCTACTGACAGTTCAAGCACCGAGCCACATACTTCACTATATCTTTCTTCATTTTTTTCCACCAATGGTGATGCCTCAAATACTGATACATCTTTGCGGCACCGGGATGAATGGAATACCGCGAACTGTGGGCCTCTTTAAGAATCAACTCATGTAACCCATCCCCAATTGGCACACAAATACGACCATGCATCCGCAGCACCCCATTATCTCCAATAGAAACCTCCTTGGCATTACCGTGCCGAATCGTGTCTTTAAGGACAAGCAAATAGGGGTCGTCATACTGACGCTCTCTGATACAATCATATAAAGAAGACCGAGAAACCACGCAAGCTAGAACTCGACTAGGCTCTGAAACATCTAACCTCACAAATTGATTGGCAAAGGATTGAACATCTGATGTAAGCGGTCTCTCACAAACAGGAATATATGCAAGGCTACCCATACTCATTGCCTTTCTACTCAAGGCATCGGCCACCACATTGGCCTTCTCGAGATGATATAAAATAGTAATATCATAGTCTTTTAATAGCTCCAACCATCTCCGTTGCATCAAGTTTAGATCATTTTTCTTGAACAAGTGTTGTAGACTCTGATGATCTGTAAATACCTCACAAAACATGCCATAGAGGTAATGCCTCCAAATCTTTAATGCATGGACAATAACACTCTAAATCATGAACAGAGTAGCTCTTCTCAACTGGCGTGAAGCATAAGCAATCACTCTACCCTCCTACATCAAGACACGCCCAATACCAATCCGTGAAGTATCATAATTCACTATATATGAACCCGATATTGAAGGCAAAACTAGAATTGGAGTTGTGGTCAAGGTATTCTTGAGCTTCTGAAAGCTCTCCTCACACTCATCAGACCACATGAGTGGGGCACCCTTCTGGGTCAATCTAGTCAAAGGTGCATCAATGGACGAGAAACCTCCACGAAGTGACAATAATATCCGGCCAAGCCAAGAAAACTCTGAATCTCAGTAGATAAGGATGGTCTAGGCCAACTCTAAACTGCCTCAATCTTCTTTCAATACAGGTGATGCAGAGGGGATCAATGGACGAATAGTGCACTTAGAGGGAGGAAAAAGAGTTCAGCAAGAGGAAATCCAAGGTGCGAAACCGCGCATGAGCAACCCCCAACGCGCACTTGAGCGAGCAAGTGACATAGAACTCTGCCAGAGATGTGCGGCCGCGCACGTCCGCTTCCAGGAATATGACCTAGGCCTATTTTTGTAATTTTGGAGGCGGCCTTTTTGACCTATATGAAGCCTAGCTCGTCTTAAAACAAGGCATCTCGGATTTTGGAGCAACTTTTGGAGAGAAGAAGGCAAGGAAACAACTGAGACTCTAATTACTTCATCCAATTCATTCAATGCAGAAGTTTGTTTGATTTTGGGAATTGAAATATTTTCTTGTTCTCCTAATACTCTTGTGATGAACAACTTCTCCACTATGGAGTAATCTTTCTTATGGTAATTGATAGATATTGTGATTTGACTATTATTTTGGGTTTGCTTTGTGTTAATTGCCCGAATTTGTTGAATGGGTTATTAATTGAATTGCAAGGCTAGTTGTGATTTTACTTTAATCGAAAGAGAAGTGTTGTTGCAATTTGCATTGTGTTATCTTGTTGGGTTGATTTCATGACTCTCATAGGTAATCGGAAGAACTAACAGAGTTATTAATTGACCCAAGTTAGAATAGTAGTCGAGAGATGTTCTTTGTAAGATCATTCGTTCAACATATTATTGCATATTTTCTCAGTACATATCATTAGGTTGTTTAGCGCACTCGAATTCATTCGGAAGAAGAATTTGAATCCTCAAGATAGCCTAATCATCTGTTGAATTCGGAAGAGTCAATAGAAGTTAAGAGTGAACATAACACAGAGTTTCTCACAGTAATAGTTGATCAATTATCTTGTTAAAACCCTTGTTTCTCACCTTGATATTCAATCGTTGCTACTTAGTTACTAATTTCCCATTATTCATTCAAAATTGTCAATCTTAGTTTTTATTCTTAATTATTCAATAACTCAAATTCAAAGGTTGATTTTCCTATATAGTGTTAAGCTGAAGATTTCTTTGAGCGGTATTTAACCCAATCCATGTGGAGACGATTTAACACTATACTATCTTTGACTAGCGAGCCTAAGTTTTATACACTGGTTTTACGCTCATCAACCTCCTCGACGGGCTGACCTCTCCACTAAACATTCACTGAAGTTATATTCTTTGATCTCAACTTTAGAACTTGCCTATCCAAAATGGCCATGGCTTTACATCATACGTCAAATCTCTATCTAACTGAATCGTGCTGAAGTCCAAAACCTGAGACGGATCACCGTAATACTTCCGGAGCATGGAAACATAAAATACTAGGTGAACACTCGATAGACTAGGTGGCAATGCAAGCTTATTGGCTTGGGTCAGACTTCGACTCAAAATACAATGGTGAGCAACGAAAAGGATGTGAACCTAGCTACGAGAGAAGCACATCAACAACAGGTTGCACGGCTAGCAGCTGAAGCAGCCCTTAGAGTTGCTGATGAAACTATCGAAGAGGATTGAAAGGTTCAAAGATGAATTTGAAAATACAGCTCCCAGGCATGGGAGGTCTCTAGGAGAATATGCTAGACTGGTGTACAACCAGCGGTAATCTAGTGTGAGGCCCCCATCCATTGATGCCAATAATTTTAAACTCAAGCAGGGAGTCATCCAGAACATTCAGAACAACTGCATATTCAGAGGCATACCCAATAAAGATCCCATCATCCATCTGATGGACTTTGACGAAATCATGAACACATTCTGCTATAATGGAGCATCACATGATGCAATCTACCTCAAATCATTCCCTTTCTCACTTAAGGATGATGTTAAGCAGTGGTTAAGAATTTTACCCATAGGGTCAATCCGTACGTGGGAGTAGATGACTACCAAGTTCTTAGAAAAATATTTCTCTGCTGCTAAGACTGGACGGATGAGGAAGGAGATTCACAATTTCAGCCAAGGAGAAGGGGAGACAGTGTTCGAGTCATGGGAAAGATTTAAGGAGCTATTACGGAGGTGCCCTTACAACGGAATGGAGCAATGGATGCAACTCCATTATTTCTGGGACGGGTTAAAGCCGTCATCAAGGATATTACTGAATAGTGTAGTTGTAGGCCCTCTGATGAAGAAAACTTCAGACGAGATTGTCACACTTCTGAATGAACTATCTGAAGACGCAGAACAATGGTCCACTGACCAAGGGGATCGAAGAAGACCAGCAAGGGTGCACCAAGTAAAATCTTCTGTAGCAATGCAGGCCCAAATTGCAGCAATGGCTAAGGACATCAAGCAACTAACAGTAGCTCAGGTACAAAATCAACCACAGGTGGGATGTGAAATCTGTCGAATAGGACATCCAACTCATGAGTGTCAAACCTTCACCGCAGAAGAAGAAGTTAAGGCATTGGGGAATTTCAACAAAGGCAAATACCAAGGAGGTAGTAATTTCAATAATATGGGACAGATATATCCGGAGTTCTCAGGAGTTCTTCAAATGGTAGCTTGAACTCATGGAAGCAGCAAAATCCTAGAGCACCAGTGCAAAGACCTCCTGGCTTCAAGAAACAACAAAGGCAACCGTACCAGCCTCCACAGCCCAACAAATCAAGTTTAGAAGATCTAATGAAGGCATTCATAAATAAATCAAATGAGCAACTTGAGACTCAAGGAACAGCTATCCGGGAGCAAGGCATAGCCATTCGGAATCTAGAAAAACAAATGGGTCTGCTCGCATCATTATTATCATAAAGGGCTCCGGGGACTTTGTCGGCCGACACTGAGAAGAATCCAAAAGAGATGATCAAGGTCGTGTTCTCAGAAGTGGGAAAACATTAGTAGAGCCCATTGCAAAACCAAGGGTTGAGAAGGTGATCAACTCAACCAAGATAGTAGAAGAACAGAAAATTGGTGAATCTTTGGCTAAGGAAGACATCAGTAGCAAGGAGGTTGATAAGCAGAAGTCAAGCAGCGCGGTTGAAGAAAGAAAGCACATGCCAGTATTACCTTTTCCTCAGAAGATGAAGTGGGGGAAATTAGATAAATTCTTTGGAAAATTCTTAAAGATGCTGAAACAGATGTATGTAAACATCCCATTCACCGAGGTACTCACCTAGGTGCCTGCCTATGCCAAATTCCTAAAGGAAATCCTGTGAAGTAAAAGGAAGCTCGAGGAAATGAAGGTGGTCAAACTCAATGCACACTGTTGTGCCATTCTACAAAACAAAAATCCTCAAAAGTGTAGGGATCCTGGCAGCTTCACTATACCCTGCTCATTGGGGAGCGCAATTTTGACAAGGCCTTGTGCAACTCAAGTACATCCATTAACTTTATGCCATTATCGGTGTTTAAGAAATTGGAAGGAGAATTAGGAGTGATCAAATCTGTGATGGTATCTTTGCAACTAGCTGATCAGACCACGATCATACCGAAGGGCATAATCGAGGAAATTCTGGTAAGGGTGGACAAATTTGTCTTCCCAGTAGACTTCATTGTAGTAGACATGGAAGTGAATAAAGAGGTAACTCTAATCTTGCGGAGACTATTCCTTTGCACTGGTCAGGCTATTCTTGATATATATGAGGATTAACTCATGCTACGAGTGGGAAACAAAAAAGTGGTGTTTCAAATGAAGAGAATGATGAAATACCCATGTAATGAGGCATCTGCCTATGCTTGTTTCAAACTAGATGTGGTAGGAGAGTAAGCTGAACAATACAAGCTGGATAAGCTGGTAGGTGATTCATTGTAAAGATGCATTAGTGAATTGAGTACGGCAGACGATAAAGATCCTAAAATCAAAAAGGAAGTTGAGGCACTGGAAGATGAAAATCATGTGGTAGACAAAGAAGAATTTTAGAAAGAAAAGATCAAGCCAAAGCTGGAATTGAAAGTACTCCCGACACATTTGAAATATGCTTTTTTGGAGACTAACAATTTTCCTGTGATTGTTGCTGCTTATTTGACAGGTGAACATGAACACATGCTAGTGGAGTTACTGGGGAAGCATAAAAAGGCAATCAGTTGGAGCATAGACAATATTCAGGGAATCATCCCTGCAATCTGTATTCACAAGATCTTATTAGAAGAAGGGAGCAAACTGGTAGTGCAGCCCCAGCACAAATTGAATAAAAACCTTGATGAGGTGGTACAGAAAGAGATACTCAAATTGCTGGATGCAGCTATAATATTTCCCTTCTCTGACAGCTAATGGATCAGCCCCGTATAGGTTGTGCCGAAAAATAGGGCATGACGGTGGTGAAAAACGAGGATAACGAGCTAATTCCTACCAGAACAGTTACTGGTTAGAGGATGCGTATAGACTACCGAAGGCTAAATGATGCAACAAGGAAGGATCACATCCCTCTTCCCTTTATTGATCAGATGTTCGAGAAGGTGGTAGGGTGTGGATGTTACTGCTTCTTATATGGATATTCAGGGTACAATGAAATACCCATTGCTCCCGAAGATGTTGAGAAAACTACCTTTACCTGCCCTTCTGGAATCTTTGCATACCGGAGAATGCCTTTCGGACTATGCAATGCATCATCTACTTTTCATAGGTGCATTATTTCAATCTTTTCAGATTTGAATAGGAAGTGTCTGGAGGTGTACATGGATGACTTTACTCTATTTGGAGATGACTTCAAGGATTGCTTGAGGAATCTCGAACTTGTACTAAAACGATGTGATGACACTCACCTAGTCCTCAAGTGGGAAAAGTGTCATTTCATGGTTAAGGAGCGGGGATAGTCTTGGGCCATAAAGTTACAGCTGAAGGTATTGAGGTTGACAGAGCTAAAGTAGATGTGATCGCTAAGCTCACACCACCAACTTCAGTGAAGAGCATCAAAAGATGTTTTGGGCATGCAGGGTTTTATAGAAGGTTTATCAAAAATTTCTCCAGCATTACCAAGCCCTTAACAGCATGACTTGCCAAGGATGTGAAATTTGTGTTCGATGTAGAGTGCCTCAGAGAATTCAAACTGATCAAGGAAAAGCTAGTGAGTGCTCTCATAATAGTGACTCCTGACTAGAGCAAACCCTTTGAGATCATGTGCTATGCCAGTGATGTGGCAGTAGGAGCAGTGTTAGGGAAGAGGAGAGATAAAATGTTCAGACCCATTTACTATGCAATCCAAACCTTGAATGATGCTCAGGTGAACTATGTACCACGGCGAAGAAGTTCTTTGTAGTGATCGTCGCTTTCGTCAAGTTCAGATCCTATCTAGTGGGAAGCATGATAATAGTGCATACTAATCACTCGGCACTGAAGTATTTGCTAAGCAAGAAAGAGTCCAAAACGCGTCTGATGCGGTGGGAATTGTTGCTGCAAGAGTTTGATCTTGAAATCAAAGACATGAAGGGCACAGAAAATCAAGTGGCTGACCACTTATCGCGATTGGAGAAACCACTTGTTGAAGCGGTGGACATTCCGGAAGATTTACCAGATGAGCAAATATTTTCCATTGCAGTGGTCTTTGAAGACCGCCATGGTACGTTGATGAGCCAACTCTTTGGATAGTGGATAGCTACCACACGACTTGACCTCCGACCAGAAGAGGAAGCTGCAAAGCAAGGTAAAAATCTACTTCTGAAATGACCCATTTTTGTTTAAATTGTGTAAAGATGGTGTAATTAAGAGATGCATAACATAAGGGAAAATGGGAAGTATATTGTCCCATTGTCATGACGGAGTAGATGGAGGACACTATGAAGGAAATAGGACAGCAACAAAGGTCATAGAGGTCGATATTTACTGGCCATCCCAATACAAGTACACAAGATCTTATGTGGCTACATGTGACAAGTGCCAACGGACAGGTAACATTGGTAAGAGGGACGAGATGCCCCTGAATTCCATTTTGGTATGTAAAATCTTCGATGTCTGAGGCATCGACTTCATGGGTCCCTTCCCATCGTCCCATTCCTATGAGTACATCCTAGTGGTCGTTGACTACGTCTCCAAGTGGGTCAAGGCAATCCCCAATAGGACAAATGATGCTCGAGTAGTATGTGAATTTCTTCGGAAGAATATTTTCACCCGCTTTGGAACTCTCCGAGTCATCATCATTGACAACGGATCATATTTTGTCAATAAATAGTTTTCCACTCTGCAGTCTAAATATGGGGTAACTCATAAAACAGTAACCCCATATCATGCTCAAACTAGTGGGCAAGTAGAAGTAGCTAACCGTGAACTCAAAAGAATTCTAGAAAAAACGGTTAGTGCTTCGAGAAAGGATTGGTCAGTAAAGTTAGATGAAGCTCTATGGGCGTATAGAACATCGTTCAAAACAACCATAGGGACTTCACCCTTCAAGTTGGTATATGGAAAGTCATGTCACTTACCTGTGGAGATAGAGCATAATGTTACAACCCGCACTTTGGGGTTGTAATTTCGGCCAAGAACTAGTGAGAAAAGGCCTTCTGATGGTCTGACGTAGAGCAGTCTACTCGGGCAACTTGGGCTTTTTAATTTTAAACATATATAAGGGGGTATAGGTGATGAAAGCTCCGACCTGCCTCCCCCATGCGTGCTGCCACCGAGCCGTATAGAACGAGCTGCCTTGGGGGCGAACCCCAAGGGCCTGCCTAGATGTCTCAAAGGAGTGTCAAAGGTATCCACACGAGTTTGGGAACTCGTATGGGCTGTGCAACGCCTTAAGGCCTACGTTGGGCATCAAAAGGGCAGTGGAGGCTGCTAGAGTGGAACGGCCAGCCCCGCGGGCTGCCGAATGTTGGAAAGAGACCTCCATGCCGATTGGATACTTGACGCACCTGTCATAGGGGCATCATGTGTCGACTTGTGAGCATGGCTTTGGTTCAACCATGCAAGCAAGGGTCCGTTGGCCTAAAGGTGCAGGTGTGGGCGACACTGCACTACTTCGGAATGGAAGCGTGCTGCAAGAGGGCTATGTATGGGCATGGCACGAAAGAGGCGCATGACAATGGCCAAGGACTAAAGGTTGCCTTACTCGGGCGAGGCACGAGCTAGTCGCGGATGCACTAGACGAGTGTAAGCTTGAGGATTGGGCTGTGCACGCGGGAGCGATGCTCAGTCTTGGGCTAAGGACAAGGCATGTCCTAAGCCAAGTCCCCAGGGCGCGCATGGATTGTGATCCTAAGATGGAGCACTACGACATGTCTAGGGCCAAGGGCCTAGGCATCTTACGGGCGGCACAAGTTGGGGCTAGCCTAAGGGCGAGTCCCTCCGACAGGCACATGATCGTGCTTGGGAAATCCTGGGACAGGAAGATAGGCTGGCCCGCGGCGAAGGGGAGTCAGCGGGCGCCGCACGGGCGAGCAGGTGCCGCTACCCAATGTAAGGATTATCAGAGCTGATTAAGGCCATACTATGCCATGGCACAATGTCAAGGCAAAGGGTGGATATGGCGAGTGAATTTTGGATGTCAGTGCCGAGATCACGTCAAAGCAGAGATTGATGTTCATATGCCACCAAAGATCTAGAACCAGATACTGATGGTCGACGAAAGAAATGGGTGATTCCATTGTCTTTCGTGAGTCTAAGGTGCTACTGAATGAGGTGATATGCCGATGAGTCGGATGGCCAAGAGAATGCCATGTTTGCCAGGTCGTGCAACCATATTGTGAAAGAGTGGGAGCCATGGACTATAAACTTGGGCATGCTCATAGCGAAGATCTTGCCAAGGATGCGTGCAACGCATCAAGATGAGTGTCTTTCCTTCGGGAGAAGACTTTGGGTTGCCTGAGGGCATTGCCAAGGTGAGGAATC